CAAATAACATACGCTTCCTAGTAAACTTCCTCAATAGAGACCACACACAACTGTATGTTTCACACTCCTTCCAATGTGGCACTCTTTTTCTTTTTGATATACATTTTTGTATAATATCTGATTTAGATCACACTGCACAAGTTACAGGGTGGTTTCACTCTTTGACTTAAAGTATGTCTTTTATACATAAATATGTGTCCCCGGTGGGTGTGTCGGGGAACTCACACTGCGTCAGAAAATAAAACCCTTTCTCTTTTCCTCCGTACCCAAATCTTTAAAAAAACTGGGGCAACGAGCGGATACAGATTTGCTGCCGATATGACGTAATTTCGGATGGTGGACCCACAGAAAGTTGCTATCAGAAACAATGCCTGACGTGTTTTGGACGTAATCTCGTCTTTGTTTACATTAGCAAGCCTCGCTAACACTCAGATCTAACCTGTAGCCTACTGGAGAGCACATGTGTTTAAAAAGCAGGAAATAAAAAAAGGAACTCACCTTGTGATAAACCCTTGTGATAAACCCGCAAGAGGAAAAGCATTTGAGCTCCATACTGTTTCAGAAATAATCCTTGATGTGGTTTAGAACAGGATGGCGTTTTATCACAGCAGAATGTAACATTATCTCCGGTAGAATTCTGATCAGGCATTAGCTCCGCCTCCTCTTTTTTTTCAAGCTAAGGACCCAAAATCCGCGTTTCTCTAACAGGCCTGGAATAGAGGGATATGAGGGATGTCTAAAATGCATGATCTGTTTGTATTTTGAGCAAAACACATCATAGACATGTTTTTATATATTTGTAGGCCTATATATCTGAGACCCATAATATATACCTTGAAATAGCATGATAGGTGCACTTTAAGTTAATTAAAGGTAGTTTAAGGTCCCTGCAGATAATTAAACGCAGTGAATATATTAATCAAAAAATTAATATACGTGGGAAGTAGGTTTTATGAATCGCTTTTTCTGACGTTGCATTGTTTAATCTCAAAAATTAATGTCGTGGCTATCTGGAGAGCAGTCAGATATTTGAGCTTAAATTGTATTCCAAATTGCATTAAACCAATCTTTAAAAGTCTTAAAACCACACTTAAAGGAACTCTGAATACACCTACATTATTTTTGAACGTGTTCAAATTAGAAAAGACTGAAGATTTTTTAACACAATGCAATGAGATACAGTATGCTATAGTATTTTTTTTTAAATGTGTCTCTAGTAAATCTCCTTAAGTCTTGTTAGTGTGGAAGACACTACATTAACTCTTCATTTTACTGAGGGAAGTGGAGCAGTTCAGTGTCGCCTCCCTGTGGTACAGCAGCTGAAGTTGTTTGCATGGTGCAAAGTGTTTTATTGCCATATGCAGGTCATTTAAAGTGCAATTTCAAAGCCCAAAAAGGAAAAAACAGTAAAGACCAAATAATATTTGAACGGGATAAAAACAGTCATGGCACAAAGTTAATTTTCCTTCCATTCATAACTCCCACCATGCACTGCCCTTTAATAAAAAGTCAGATTCTGAACTGACCCCCTCGGGAAACAGAGCTTGGTCTCACAAGTGGACCTGCATCGTGGTATTTTCCATATGCCATAAAAATCATTGAAACGTTATTAGTGCACCGGAAAACGTATAACTGTGGAGATGTGAGGTAAACCTGAGGTCACTGGCAAGAGTTGTTACTCATTACAGGCAAGAACACATGATTAATTTGCTCGTTACAGAAAGCCGTTAAGCTTTATTATGTGCGTGTGTGTCAATGTGTGTGTGCCTTTTAAAAGCTATTTGATGTAGCTTGTCCAAATTGCCGATTCCCTTGCAAACACAACTCAGTGTTTATGAATTTTATGAGTTTTGCCGAATTTGAAGGCATTTTTGCACTTTTTAAATTAGATTTGTGATACAAAAGAACACCTTCCATATTTTCAAACAAATAAACAGGATTTTTTTGCCACATTTTTTACCCACAGAATCTTGTGACTTCAACACACCCATATGCTGCAATAAGGGCCTGTAAACATGACATGTGTTGTTGTTTTTGCTCTTTTCAAGACTCAGTGTCAGCAGGAGCTGGACCAGATCCTGGAGAGGATATCTAAGATGCCCTTCAGAGATAACCGAGGGCCCCTGGAAGACCTGTACGCCCTGCACATCCCCAACTGCGACAAGAGGGGGCAGTACAACCTCAAACAGGTGAGTCGAGTTAATATGGGGAAGAGGGTTGTTAACGGAGAGGGATAATATGGAAGTATTTAGAGGAGAAAAAGGTCGGTAAAGCATCATTACCACCCCTTAAGACAAAAATATGTTGTATTTTACGAATAAAATAAACATTAAATCATACAAATCATTATAGTGTTCATTTTGATTATGTAGAAGGGAATTTAAAGAGCAACTTGTTAGAGACCCCAGTGAATAAATGTGTAGGAAAATGATGTAGGCCTATACACTAGATTTAAAAAAGATATATACATAAATATACACTACAGTGACATCTGGCGTCGTTTTTGTAAGACGTTTTTACTTCCGCATCAAAAAAGACCACCCGCGTGTGACGTCTAACGTATGAATAAACATGGTTCACAATGCTAGTTTTGACACAGAAGAGGTTGAAAATGTATATTCGTATGCATATGACGGACCACAACATGATAATTATGAGCCTGCTAGGCGTCCAAGAGACCAGGAGCAGCCAAGGATTAGAAGGAATAACGGCATTCGGAGAGAAATGGAGCTGTGGTGTGAGGAGAACCAGTGGAGAACAGGGCAGATGTCTTGGTGAGTGACCGGCGTTAGCTACAGTTATGTTAGCTAACGCCGGTCACATCACAACATTGTAAAGTTAGCTATCATATATCAGGCTATAACTAATAATAATAATATAGTAACGTTACTGACAGGACTGTTGATACTGATCCATAACAGAAACTAATGCGCAAGTATCAGCCGTATCTCGCGTTACCTAATGCAACTCCGCACTACGTCTACGGTGCTGTGTGTACCGGAGGAGAGAGAGAGAGGAGCGAAGGAGGGGAGAGAGAGAGGAGCAAAGGGGGTGGGGGTAGAGAGAGAGAGCAGTGAAGGGGGGGAGAGAGATGTAATACGGTTTGCTGATAAACGTTTTGTTTGATAGGCCTCAGCTGGAGAGTATGTGCTGCAGGGAGGTGGATGCACCTCGCACAACGCACCCAGGAACGAAAGCTAGCTCCGGTCCTTTTCTTGTTAGGGAAACTGTGGACTCGATGTGCTGACAGGCTCACCATGATTACAAATGATGAAATGCAATGTGAAATTACCGAAAAAATACCAGCACTAAATCACAACCGCTCAAACCAACTACAAACTACAACCACGGATTGGGCAGAGAAGGAGTCCGAGAAAGTTGCTCCCCCATGTGACGTAATCTGACGCGTTTGACGTATGACGTTAAAAAAAGCAGTTTTTAGTAGCAGAGCTCAAAACGGCTTCTTTCCCCTCTGAATTCCTGCCCTTATGTCTCGTAAAACATATCAAATCCTACATTAACTTTTTTAATTGTAATTTTCAGGCAAGGTTAAGTATAAATCTAGTAAAAAAAAACTGCAAGTTGCTCTTTAAGACATTATCTTCACCATGATTTAACTATTTAAACTGTATATATATAAAGAAAATAATCTCAAAAAATGCAGTAACTATTTTTTCTGCATATTTCAGCACAAACAACACATTTACATGCATTAAGGGTTGTTGCAATGATGACAAATTACCTAAAAATTGTTAAACATTAAAACCACTTTTATTGGGTTTAAAAAAATGTATCTTTCACTATGTCAGCAAGAGACATTGGCTCTGTTAACTTGATGCAATATTTCTGCACATACACCTCATATGCTTTTTTAGGGTTGCAAGTATGTAAAAGGAACTAAAACACACAGAAATAAACACAGCATTTTGTGTTTCAGTGCAAGATGTCCCTCCACGGTCAGAGGGGCGAGTGCTGGTGCGTCAGCCCCCACACCGGCCGAACTATCCCATCAGCCCCCACTGTGAGGGGAGACCCCAACTGCAGCCAGTACCTCAGAGACCTGGAGCTGGAGCTAGAAACCCCTGACATGGCCCAGATATAATGTGGCATGAAACAAAAAATAAACTGTAAAGTACTTGGGAACAAAAAATATCTGAGAAAGCTATTATCTTTGAGTGCGTGTGTGTGTGTGTGTGTGTGTGTGTGTGTTCATTTGAGGACAGTGACGTTTGAAATATTAACCATCAAAAAAGTCTTAGAATCCAGTTGGCTGAGTGGGATGTAACGGGAGATAAGACTCTTTTCCTCGTAGATGTTCAGAGTGTTGGTAGCTTTACTAATTATTGCTCAGATTTTTCTGTTATCAGTGTTTTTTTACTGTATGTGTTGAAAAACGAGGAGCCTTCAACATGTTTGGTGTTTTTAGGTGTGTTTTCATGTCCTAGCTTGCTGTTACACCTTATTAACAGATGATGCTATTAAAAAGGTAATAAATTCAAATTGGGCTTGCCTGTGTTTTGATTTGTAAACACACTTTGAATTTGGCACACTCGATGCAGTAGTATTTGTATTTATGTAAAGGAAAGAAAAACTCCTACATATTGCATAGACATTTTGTAGTCTGTTCGTCTATTTACTCTAAATGCAAGAGTTGTAACATAAAGATGTGTTGAAGAAGACTTGCCATTAGGACCCCAAACATATTTAGAAAATGCCGCAGTAGAAAAATCAAGTGGGAATTCGCATGATATTAGAATTTTAAATCACATTTATTGATGATAAAGCCAAAATGAATCATACCCTCTATGGTTTTGATTAAAAAAACATGTTTGCTAGACCCCTATGAGTTATATCATGGCAACCAGTATCGCCATGACAGCAGATGGAAACACCCTCATGGAGTATCACCTATGTGTCTTAAGCAGTATGAAGGTCATACAGATAGCAGTCACAAAATACACTGACTCAACAATTCACACATTGAAGACAAAACTGCTGACATGGCTTTGTTGTGACTACATGAACTTTATTTAAATAGTGATTTGTCATTACAAAAAAATAAAACGAGTACATCAATTACACGCCTGATAAATATTTCACCATAAATGTTCACATTGCTTTTTTTTAACTGAGATTCTTAAATGTTCAAAGTGTCACCGTGATGCGTTTACATGAGTGCTAGTCATGATACAGTGGGGAAGAATAAGCTGATGACACAACGCTCTCCTTATGTCACAATATAGTGATTAGGAATGTCTGAGATTATACGAGTGACAGTCAATACATGAACATTAAGATTATAACAAACAAATGTTGAGCTGTAGAACGAAAATGTTGTCCCCTGTCATTGTACGTTTATTTTTGTGTTAAAAATAAAACTCAAACACGGCACATACACACTTCAAATTGTTTACCTCCTTTGTGTTGGCCCTGATTCGACAATACAATCGGACCACACGCAAATACAATTCAAAGTGGCGTAGGGCAGAAGGCACTTTAATTTCCATACAAACTCAGCAACCTCGCTCTTAAGAGGATACAGGAGCCGATAAAGACCGAGAGCAGACTTACAACCTGCAGGCGGAAACACAAACAGCGCGTGGGCCTTTGCATACGATTTGTGTGCGGAGGGAAATGCTCGGCACCACGTTTTGTCCGACAGTAGCTCAAGTGAGAAATGAAGCTTCTTGTTGTATTTGAGAACTATAAGGGCATGGCACATTAGGTACACACATACAGACACAATCTGTACACACATTTACAAAGAGTGGACGCAGTTGTCTGGACGGCCAAATATCTAACCTGTTAAAGAACAATATGTTTGTTTAAGAGTGCTTGATTGACATGAAGAAAGTAATCATCTCTAAAGAAAATGATTTATAAGCATACCCAACATCTGAAGTGGATTCTTTCCATGGACAGTTTTTTGAGAGGAAAACAGGATTTCGACAGCAATCCAGAACAGTTTGCCTCTTTTTCCTGCACAAGTAGGCTAAAAGATGGTACGTTTAATGTTAGTCGGCAGGATATAAAGTCAGGAATAACAATCTTTGTACATCCTGTTGTCATTCACATGTAACAGTTAGTAAGGTAATGCTAATTTGGACCGAGAACTCTTCAATTGTGTCTCCACAACCTTTTTTTTTTTTAAAGCCACATTGAAAACATGTCTTGTCTCATAGTTTCTAGGATACACTCAGTACACAACATATTATCAATATAATACAAATATATATAATCCTCTATTATCTATGGATATGAAGAGGTGAGGTGTTAGCTACCATCAAACATATACGGCCAATGGGGCGTTAAGACCTACATGTGAAGCTTTTCAAAAAAACAAACAAATAAAAACAGTCCATCACACCTGGCCATACTTAGAAGCATTTGTGCCATATTTTCCTGATTGGCCGTCATGACGTGTACTAGCTTGATTGGTGGGTTTAAGAAGAGCTTCCCTCTCATTCGTTGGTGTTGCTGCTGCTGTCGAAATCTTTGCACTGCAGGTCTCCCTCGGTGTAGTTGATGCTGGGGATTTTGTCGCCAAATCGGTCCACGCACCAGCAGATCCCCCTTCTCCGACCACGAGACGGCTTACACTGCAAGGGTGGAGTTAACACAGAGTCAGCACTTTGGAAATAAAGGGGTTTTAGGCATGTTACAATGATCTGGTTGGTATTTCAGCCAAACACTTCAGAGACATATTCTATAGATTGTATATATTGTATATATCTGACAAATATATTGTTGAAAAAGAGTATACTAGGGGACCTTTAATGGACAGTATTCGTACCTGCTTGCGCTTGAAGAAGCCCTTCTTGTCACAGTTGGGGATGTACAGAGAGAGAGCCAACACCCGAGAAGTGTCCTTCATGCTCTGAATGAGATTATCCAGTCTCCTTCCGCAGGGGCCCTACACACACAGACACAGGTGTGAGTGTGTGCATGGTCACAATGTGTGTTTTGTGTCTATTTCTGCAACAATACTGACATCAAGACAGGAAGGTAATACAGGTTAAAGACCTAAAGATCTATATTGAAATAGAGTTGATTAGAAGGTTGATTTCGAAATTGAATATTTAAGTCATCTTTGCAGCTGTAGTTTTGTTAAACCACTATTTTAGGATTAAACCAATAGGATGTGGTTATTTCTTTCCGTTTTTACATTTTAGTACAATAGTTTTCCTGGCGACATTTGAGGTAACCAGATGCTGTGATTACGGGAAATACCTCCACTAATGAGTACTTCAGTAATTTGGCATTCGACTGGGTTCACACCTTGTTGTATGTGTGAAAGTGGCCCTGCGGGGCATCTTGGCTTGGATTTGTCAGAACTTGTTTCTTTATATTTATTTCCCCTCTGAGCTAAGTGAGATTTTCCCCCTGCTATGCCTGACTGTAGTCTGTGCTTCACTTACGAACTCGGGCTCCGATTTATCCAGGCTCAGCGGGGAGAAGTCCAGATTGCTGGAGGGTCCCGGCCTGGCCAGCTGCTTCTTGCGATCCTTGGCCTGCCTCATGGCCTGGGCTTTCCGACTGCTGATGTGGTCTCTTAAGGGCGCTTTGGTTTGCTGAGATTCTCTGTCTGATAGAAAGGCAAGGACAGATGAGGTCACTCCCCCTGATCATGCATGTTTGAGGGCTATTAAAGGGGCCCTCTGGGCTTTTCTTTTAAGTTATATTTAAATATCCTCATCAAAATAAACAGCTTATCCTTTAGGCCTAATAAAAGTGTTGAATACATTCCTCCCCCATAAAACATTTGCAAAGCTGATTATCAGCAGTTTTGACTTCTTCTCTGCTTTTTCATAGTGCTTCTCTATATTTCTCTCCAGCATCCCACTGCAGAGCTCCAGCCTCGCCAGAACCAATGGCGGAACATCTTGTGTAGTTATAGATCAATAATATAAAAATGCCACTCTTTTATATTGCACACATTGTTTTATCGTGCTAATCCTTCATAAATAAACTTGGCTACTAAGCATACATTGAAGCTCATGTAAGCCAACATGAGCTATATGCTAATGTTAAACATGAACACAACAGTATTAGGTACACAAAAAACACACTTAGAAGGTTACAGTTGTATCAAAATGTGTAGTTTACTTTGTTTGCAAACTAATGATTGCATGCTGTCGAACATGGGAATGTGTATTGTATCACAGGGATGTTTTTTTTCATACTGTACATGTGCACATAGGACTGACTCAAACTACTATACAACTTGAATATGAGCATGGGATGATAGAATACTGACACAAGAACAAAAGCAACAACAAGAATGTGTTTCTGAAGCTTGATTCACACAGGACTACTATTATCAGAGGAGAACTGTCTTCACCACAGTGCAGTTGGTACACCGGATCTTTACAAATTACAGACATGCAGGAATAAAATAACCCGATACCAATTATTACTAACAACTTGATGTCCACGGGTGTAATATTAGCCCTGTGCAGAGCAAGGCTTCAAAGCATTTTTCTACTGCTTTCAAGAGACTGTTTGAAGAAGAAAAGGGGTCAAAATCAAAAGCATAATGATGGCTCCCACTTGGCCTAAAATTAACAAGTAAAGATCAACTCATGATGGAAGAGGACAGGAGAATGTCACACAACACGACGAGATGATTTCACTGCAGCAGCTAAATGCTTATTTAGCACTGTTAGTGGCTACTGGCCAGCTTCAGATCCGAAGTGTTGACATACAGAACAACATAGCCTACATTTATGGCAAGCTAGGTTGCCAGTTTGGGGTATATGTAGACCGGGGGTTTTAAAACGTATATAGCCGGTGACCTAAATGAGATATTTAGTCTCACCCTGGCACCCAGGCCCATGAAAACATACTATTACACTTGTCATGTGGCGGACCACCAGAAACAGCCGCAGCCCATTTTGGGTCCCAACCTCCACATGTACATGCAGCCTTCATCTGTGCAAAAATATAGCTCTCTTTCGGGGGCCGCGCACTGTCGCTCAAACCTCAGCTCGCCCCTCTGCCTCGTCCCACCCTCTATTCATCCCACCGCAACAACTGTGTTGAGGCTTTCTTTCCCAAAAGCACTTTTATGCTGATATTTCACTTCATTTAAAGCTTAAAACATGCATCGGCCTTCTATGTGTCTTAAGCCTCCGCTGGCCCATTTCCACTGCTGTGACACGCCCTTTTTTTTCATTTTGGCAGATTCCACATTTCTGCACTGGCGTGATCGCTAAGCTACTACGCTAACTGGGCGGGGAAACTAGGTCATTGCAAATGATGCTTAAAATCTGGCAAACCCCCCCAAGTGATGAGGAAGATCACGGCTGGTCATTAGGGGCAGGTGGGGCACAGCCCCACCTAGTGTCAGCAGAAAGTATTAAAAATAATGATTACAAAATAAATGCAAAAAAATATATTAAATATATTTTAAGATCATGTTTAATAATCTGATTCGTCTGTACATTGCTGTTTTAGTCTGTGTTCTTCTAATTAGTGTCTACAGTGTGTGCCTATTGAGCTGTTTAGAGCCATGTGGGACAAAACCCGATCCTGCCCCTCCATCTCTCTGTCTAAGTGAACGGTGACTGTAAAAACTACACTGCGCATGCTCAGAGTATTTTCCTATTTAATGTGTGTGGCAAAAAAATAATTACCATAGGGGCATAGAGCTGCCATCCCCACCATACGTCATCTCACATCATTCAGAGCTGATTGGCTGTAAGTACGTGTGCCGCGAAAAGTGTGGTGTGTGAAGAGGAGACGAGAGAGCTGCAGTGACGCATCCTAAAACCCGGAAGTAAGCTGCGCATGGCTTCCCTCCACAAAAAAAGCAATGAGATTTCTCCATAGGATTTTAGAAAATAGCTCAAAATAAGATCTGTGGGAAACGTAGCTGTTAGATAAATGCACGTTTTGTTCAGCCGGATAATATCCACATGTCTACCCTACTTTTATAATTTTCGAATCATAAATCTATCGATTAGATTAGATTTATGATAGACTTTTGAAACTACAAGAAGATAAGGAGGACTTTTACAAAAAGTAAGAGATTTTTGTCCAGAAGGATAGGCAAATGGACTTCATCTTCATGTCAAGGTAAGACCACAATTTTATTGAAAATGGGATCTTACTAAGAGAGAACAATCCAATATTTAAATGAGAAAATTACATTTTTTGGGTATCCTTCTGTTGAACTGTCCGTTTAAAATTAATCGAAGCATCAGAGAAAAAAAGCTTTTGAAAATAATATTATATTTTGATTTAGGTCCAAATATAATATTTGTAAACCTGAAGAGTCAGTGCCAGTGCCTCACCAGCCATGAACCTCTCTGCAGAAGCTTATATATAGACACGTTTTTTGTGCCCCACCACTTTTGTACATATAAAAACGCCACTGGTTATGTCATCCATCCACATAATTCCAAGTTCTTGGAAGCACGCAAGAACTATCCTTCAGTTTACTGCTGACACAGTTCTTTTTTTCTCCGTCCATTGAAAGCTGAGGCAGATCAGCAGCCAGCGTAAACCCAATCAAGTCCTCACTTGCTAATCCTCGAGTTTGTCTAATCTGACCTGGGCTGACTGATCACATCTATCATTGCTTCATCACCCTTTTCCTCGAGTTGGAATTGTGAAACATGGTGATCCTTGCAGTCACAGAGAAACTCCTTCCTTGGAAATCAATGTGAAATCTGTCCGGATAAAGTTGCACTACTTCAATAGTTTAATGTGTCATGTACTAGCAAACATGACACATGGTGTATTACTGTTCTTAAGGATGTGTTCAAGTGCATATAAGCTTTTTGGCAGCTCCTACTAGATTATATGCATGCATATACCTTTTTGGCTCATTCTAGTTCTGTAAAATGTAATGATGTGTGTATTCATCACAAGTGTGCACATGGGTTTTGTTTAATTTATGTGTGCTCAGCAGGAGATGTGGAGTTAACGGAGAAGCTGGCTGACGGGCGGACAGATGGGGGGATCAGTAACCCACGCTCAGCCTGCATTCTGCTGAATCACGGCACAGCCTGGGCCTGCCTACAGCGCCGTGACCGAGAGAGGGAGGGGGAGAGGGGGAGGGAGGCAGATGAAGAGACCAGGGTGGGACTAACAAAGAGTGGTGGGAGGGGAGCAGAGGAGAGTGTGGGAAAGGGAGATGAAAAGAATATTTTTGGGTATACGACAAGTTCTAAGATGCTCTAAATTAGCTTAGTCTGATGAGAAGAGTGCAGCAACTCCAAATTATAATGGTATAAATCCTCACATGTGATACATGTGTATGGCATTTTTTCTTATCTTCTGCCTTTGTTATTGGACTTCACTCTTAGCCAATACACCGTGGTTATTTGGCTCAGTCCTGAGGTCTAACCCCACCACTGAGATTATTTTTGTTTCCAGAGTAGATTTGCTTCTATACCAAAACGCCAATCTGCAGGAGAGTAAAGCATAACACAGAATGGGAAAGGGTGAAACTGTGGATGGGTGGGAAATAATAATAGGGTGGAAAAAGATGAAGAGGGACAGTAGCCAGGCAGTGAAAGAGGAGAAGATGCAGTGTGATGAGAGAGAATAGAGAGACATAAAGGCGGGTTAGGTGTGGGAAAAGGCACAGGTGGTGGATGAAGGAAAGTTGACAAAAGAAAAAAGAAACTGTAGAGGAAGGGAAAAGGGATAAATCAGACCATGAAGAGAGTGTCACAGGCCAACATTTCCCACAATGCTCCCCAGCAGACACAGTGACTGTCCCTGAACTACCATTCAGCGGAGCCAACAAGGAGCCGCACGGAGCACCACCTGTAATCTTCTCCCTTGTTTTATGTCGGCTGGGCGCCCCGAGGCGATGGGCCACTCACACGAAACCTACTGATTTACGGCTCACAGCCCCACCAGGGCTTTTCAAACCCAGAAGACAGGTTAATCGACGCTCCGCACCAATTGTTGACAGAGTTCACAGGGTCAAGACTCACGGGGGCTTTTGAGTCGTGTGCCTTTAATGACAGGTGTCAGCCCGTCTCAAAGAGGGCTGCGAAGTGACTCACATAAGAGAGGCAGGGAGGGCACTTACACCTCACCTTTTTAAATCGCACGCCTTAAGAAAAGAATACTTGTTGGATTTAAGTTTTATGACATGGTGTGTGGAGTGTTTTTAGAGCACATTTGTTCATCTTTTCTTAATTCATCACTGGCTGACTCTATGTGTGTGTCAGAGGGCTTCATTAAAATTCCAGCCCTGACAAAGGAGGAGTATCATCATTATACAGCTGTTTGCTTTTTCTTTGCACCAGAGCCTTTTACATATGTGGTTGAAACACAATCATTGTAATAAAAACCCACTGTTTTCTTGCACTGTTTAATGTCTTTTTGTTCTTTTGTCTCTTAAGTATAGTATATGTATGCTGCACTGTTGGAATAGCCAGAGACTTAAGTTTAACATTATTGGCCACAATTGCACTTTAGATATTGTGTATTATGTACATTAAGCCTTTGAATCTATGAAACACTATCAGAGCTGACATAAATATGATAGATGCAGGCCTTAAAGGGACACTGTAAATAACTATAAAGCCTCATAGTGGGATATAATAGGTGGAAGAAGACAAAAGAAGGTCTGCACCAACTATAATGCATAAAATATGAAGCTGCTATTAATGAATGGCTTCATTAATGTTGCATTCAAGTCAGTGACCTGTTTAAGCGTCATTAGAGCCCCAGTGGTTGCCTACCTTTGGAGGGATGCAGCATTTTATACAACTTCTCGTTCCTGCACATCCCCCGGCCGTGCAGCAGCGCGTGCAGCGGCTTCTCCTCTCCATTCTTGGGCAGGCAGCGGAGTCCGCGCGTGCACGGCCGGGTGTACACGCCGCACGGCTGGTCCTCTTCGAGCGCGCACGTCAGGCAGCAGCCGCAGCCGGGCTCCTTCACCAGCTGACAGCCCACCGGCACCGGCGGGCACATGGACAGGGCCTTCTGATCGCACGGCTGGCACGGCACGAAGGACGAGCCGCAGCCGGTGATGCTCAGCAGGGGAAGCAGCAGCAAGGAAACACTCCACAGCATGGCGCGAGACTCGTATATTAAAAGCAGGGCGTTGGTTGGAAACGATTATCAACTATATCTCACGCTGAATCCTTTCTTTGCGAATGATTTGAGTCCAAGCATCAGAGGGGGTGTTGCATCCACAGGTGCTTTGCGCGCTCAAATATCACTGCATCCGATGCTCACAATCCACGAATAGTCTTCCCTCCCTGCAAAATATTAAAATAACAAAATAATATCCCTGGATCTCAATCTTCAGTGATGCCCGGTGCCGTTTACGCGCAAGCTACTCGTCTCCAAATGAGAGATAAAAGCCCTGTTACACGCTGTCGCTCTCTCTGTAGGTTATTTATCCCGCACGGGCTGCGAGCAAAATGTATAATCTGTGGCTTTGAGCTTGCTTTTTGAAAAAGAAACTGCCAGAGGCAAAGCCTACAACGATGGGTATGTCAAACAACGTTTGGAGGGGGAGGCGCACTTGTCAACTCCGTGCGCTGCGATGCTGATTCCACAGGGCGGGTGCTGGCATGCCTCCAGATCTGCCAGATAGGAGACGATGCTCCTGAAGGCGACTGAATAAGATCTGGTGTCTTTCTCTCCTCGCACAGTGGCTATTTAGCATTTCGTATTTTAAGTGTAGTGAAAGCCAGCCGGATCTCTTCTTGAAATAATGCTGGAAACTTAATTAAAACAGTTGAAGAGTTTTGTTTGAATGCCAGCCAAAGAACTTCCTAACTGTGCTGCCAGATTGGGAAGTTATTTTAAGTGGAAATGAAAAGTAGTTTTAGTGTTTACAGACCTCTCAGGGAAGAATCACATCAAAATGGCTGCGGAAGTTGGCAGAAAAGAAAGAAAGTGTGACCTAATGCAACATTATTCATGTCACACACAGGACAAACATGTGGTGTGTGTTGATAAGAAAACTATTTTGGGTTGACAAAACCGAATCGCCTGTTAAGATATAGATTTATAGCAAGAGGATTCTTTCTTTTATGGAGGAAATATTATATGATTATTGGTCACTGTGTTTCTGGTTCCTTCCAGCTGGGGCTTGCCTGTTTTACGCAGTCACTTGAAGCATGAATAGAATTAAAGACTGTGGTTAAATTGGACATTAATGTATAATCTTTATATCTGTCACAAGATACAATCCGACTGGTTCTTCTTCCATTTGTATACACAAATTCCAAGCTTCTTGACCCCCAAACATGCTGGTCAGATTTGGAATCGGTCCGATCTCTCCCTGGAATCCCCTCAATATCTGTACTTGTTTGCCAAAAAGTCCTTGCAATTAGAGTATTTCCAAATGTTTTCACATGCCAAGCTGTTTTCTTTCCCCTCAGATATCTTTGGGTTTGGATCTCTGTTGAAACTGTTGCTTTAAATATTTGTGCGATGCTCTCTTATTCCTAACAAATATTCTCAAAAGATCCGCACAATAACTCGTTGTGAAATGTCAGGGCAAACTGCACTTGTACTGACCCTGTTTTGTGACCCAGCGAGGTCAGTGTCCGGCGAGATATCTGAGAAACACTCCGTTAATGTTTCTGGCAGATACCAATATCTCTGAGTAGAATCTATTTAATGATGTTAACCCCGGGACTGTTATCTTCTTGGAATAGTCATGCATAACTTATTTCATTTGTTAGCCTCTGTGTTTACATCCTGTTATTCTTCATCTTCTTCCGTTTGTTCTGTCAGTCAGTGCTGAAACTAACCTTTTAAAGGTCAACCCCGATCAAAGCTTTGATTCCTTCGCCGTGTCGCGTTTCACTTCCTCTTTCACCCTTCCTCCCCTTTGTGGAAACTTTGTCGGCAAACTCTTTTTCAGATCATCCGACCCCTGATTGCCTTTGCCCTTGACCTTCGCTCCGTATCAGGTGTCAAATGTCGTCACAGGTGTCGGAAAGGTCATCACCCACGCACCCCTTTCATTCCCCTCGTCTACCTTCACAGATTTGAAGAAAGAGCGCCATTCACATTGTAAACCATGTGCGCTACATCTGTCTTCCAGCAAAAAAACCTCCTCCTTCGATCGTCCTGAGACTTTCCTACACATTTATGATTTATTTCACAGAGGCATTTTGGCAATTCTAATATATTTACACTTGGAAATGGAGGAACTGTGGTCCAAGTGCTTCTAAGGTTCGTAAACCCTGTCACAGCGTCCGTAAAGGTTGGGTTTCCTGTACAGTTTGAGTTTTAGTCACTTGGTGTATATGGGCCATATAATGCACAGATGGTGGATATAGCGGCTCCGGATAGAGATGAATGCTTTGGGATTTTCCTCGAAATTAAGCCAGGACTAAATGTGCTGAGGTCTGTGAAAGGGTTTAATGCTTTGCCATCTCTGTCAGCGACGTCCATAGAGTTCCTTTAGCAGAGAAATAGCCTATTAAGGCGGTAATGGTACACAAAATTAACAATTTACGCACAGTTTGCATCGGTTCCACAACTCTTAGCCCAATTTTGCAATAACTTACTAGAAAAACACCAAAAAGTATTTTGTAGTAAATTCTACTTTCTCCTTATTGCATTACTATATGTGAAGTGTCTTTCGTCGCCATTTATCTGCTTGGCTTTGGCTTGGCTTGACTTTATTTTTTATATATTTAACACTTGAGGAGTAAATGACCATCAGTTTTGTCTCTTTGGGTCTATATTTTTGTATTATGGTGCGGTAGGTCATAGTTCTTACATGTTGTGTTCTTTGAGGGACCCAGCCTGTGATTTAGGACATAGCTACTGAAAGCACATCAGCTGACCTTTGACCTCTCTGTGAAAGCAAGCCAATACAACAGCCCTTTCTCTTCCCTGGATTATTAAACCTTGCCTGTCTTTGCTTCTATTAGAGGTGTTGTTGGCCAGTCTTCAAACTGTGTACGAACCAGAATTCATATACAGAAGCTTTCAACTCATCTATCTTTTCCCCTTTTCCTCCACAATGTCCTTCTTTTTCTCTGCCATTGTTCTTCAGCTTTTCTTTCATATCCTGACCTACTTTGTATGTTCAAAGACACTGAAGCTGCTGCTGCACTTGTTCTGGAAGAGATAATGGAGCTCGAGTCAAGTCGAGCGATGTCTTAACAGAAAATGATCAAAAGCGGAGAAAAAGAAGCAAATTCAGCACAAAATGGTTCGGAGTGCCGATAAAATCTATGGGATACAGCGCTCCAGTGTCGGATTTCTCTTTAGCCCCAGGACCTCTGGCTAATGTGCTGCACACAGGAAAGTCGGGACAGAAGAAGTATGCCAGACAATGAAGTAATCCTTTCTGAAGTGCTAGCCTGAAAGCCTGTGCTGCAAGACGCTTCATATTTATTTTTATTTTACCTTCCAGCATATAGAGCAGGTGGAAAATCACCATTGTTCTCCCACTAACCCACAGTGCACTTTGACAGTGTGTTGGCAGGCAGTCGCTGCTAGTTATCACTTCAACTGGTGTACATCAGCAGGCTTTGTGTGACTGATGTTCGCCACATGCTACAGTCAGAGCTTACTGTAAGCGACAAAGCCAGGCAAACCGCTGGAAATATGCTGAGGCAGCATGCATTTCCCTCCCCCATACACACTCACGCAGAGATAGAGTCGGTTCCCAGAATACGATGTGCTTTTCAAAAACAATTAGAGGAGTCCACGCTTGATAAACTTGGGCTGAAACCACAAGCAATGCAAGTGCGTCATGTGAAGTACAGGTGTTGACCTCTTTGTTATTCCCACTAGGCATTTTAGGAAGAAAACTACAGAGCAACATTATCAAATTACGTCAAATGTAGTTCTTAACTATCACTAAAAACTGGCTAAATGCGGAAACACCAAGCTACAGACAATGGGTTAATATTATTGGTGATATCCTAATAATGGAGAAAATCACATACAAGTTGAAAGTAATGGAAGACACATTTCTTAAGGGCTGGGAAAGATGGTTAAGGTATAACAAATGAGTCATAAAAAAACAAGCAATATTTCATAACTATGTAGATCGTCTCCGTACAGGCACTGTTCTCTCTGAAATGTAATATTTGTTGTGTGTAATTGTACCTTGTGAAAAAATCAATAAAAGAAAGTTTAAAAAAAAAAAAAAATGTAGTTCTTAAGCATCTCTTACGGCTCTTTCAGAATAAAAAACTGATATTTAATACGAATAATTGTCCAATTCTGCGCAGGAAGCAATGTGTTTCATGTTTCTGGCATTGTCGGTTGTGTTTTTTTAGTGAAAATGTGGAATTGGGTAAAGACCATGAGCAGCCGCCTACAGAGAGTTTAATCAAGGGAAAGTCCCAGGAACGTGTGTCGACCACAGTGCCAGATTCTTATTTAAATGTTGGGAAATGCAGTGCATCAATACCACATCAAGAAGTGCGATGACTGTATCTGGACCAGAATGGAAACAACAACAAAATGTGTTTGCTTCAGTACAGACAGTAATCTTGTGCCAATCAATATTCTTTCAGCCAAAAATGACTTTTTACTGTAATCCGCCTGGCTGTGGTTGCTCTGATTCACTAACTTGTTAAGATGACAGTGCACTTTTGTTTCCATGACACAGCAACTGCAGTCCCCGTCCCCACATTACACTTTGGGAAACGCATGTTTGGGAAATGAAAACCGCAAATTAGCATAGTGTTGTTGTGATCTGCATGCATAACTACAGCGCAAGGTAAGAGGAGGGGAAGGAGGGAGAAGCAGGGTCTGGTTAAGGAGGGATTATAGAGAGCAGTACGTGAGATGGCAGATTGGCGAAAACCTTGTCAGCACATCTGTGTGGCCCTGGCAACTGTGCATTGGACAAAGACAGATCATTGGATCCAGATGTTGGAAAAGCTTTGGTGTGTCTCTGCCACGGCGATTCTATTCAAAGAGCTATGAATCCGTGGAACGTGAATATTCAAATCTGTCAGCAAATCATCCGTCTTTCGTAAAGCGAGCTGCTTTTAAATAGCTTGCAGTGAAGATGAATTGTGTCAGGTGATCTTTCTCTCAGGGGTGGTTCGGATTTGATCCATAACAAGCACGCCGACATCAACAACCATTTACTCTCTTTGGGAATAGCTCTGTATCCAATATTCAACATTTGTATTTAGCACCTGCAAATCCCAAAGTCGGAAACCAGCAAAACATTTCCTGGAAAAAAGGGATTTGGCATCGCTCTGGTCGTCATCAGTCATAAAAAAATGCTTTCTCAGAATTTGCGGTTTCCAGTCGCCTGCAGTGTGGCATGCAGAACATCTCCCAAATAACAAATGAATTCGGCAAGAGGACGCCCTCCGAGGAATCGTTTTGATTTACGGCGAGGCTTCAGCCCTTGTTGTGGGCCTGAACAGTTTGAACTTGTGGTCGAGCTGTCCACCGCTTTGTTGCTTTCCCACTGGCGTCTGTGCACAACGCTATGACTGATGGTTAGGCTTTTTTTGTGAAGGGTCTTTCCCAGAATAAGTCCCACTGTGGTTTTCGGGGTC